GTTCCTACATTGGGCAAACGAAACGGACCATTGCTGAGAGGCTCAAAGAACATATCGCCGCAGTCAAAAACCGACAGAGCAACAAATCAGCGATAGCAGAACACCTGCTCCAGGCTGTTTCTAATCACTGGGTAGAATTCCACCGACCGCAAATTCTCTCCACTGATCGCCACTACCATACAAGACTTGTGCGCGAAGCGGTTGAAATAAAGAAATGCTCAAATAATTTCAATCGGGAGGACGGCTTTAAATTGTCGTCGACGTGGAATCCAGTGCTTCGCAAAACACAACCTCGCTTTCCTTCAAAGTCGGTTAACACATCTGTGGATATAATCAGCGTAGTGTGTAGACGGCCTAATATGGTAGAAAATGAAAATAAGGGGGTAGATGAAGATTCATCACCCGAATGCAGGGAGCTGTGACATCGCGTCTTCAGTCTGCTTGTGACCACGACCTGTGCAACCGGGTCGAAACGTCAAGCCTACCAAGGTATTCAAATTATAATTTTCCGCGTTAATACCCGCGTAAATATAATGTTGTTAAGATTGAGCCTCCTGTTACCTCACTCACACGGCAAAACACAACGCTTTGGTTGTTTCACGCCGTTTTTCTTTGAGACCATGGTATCACTCCGGTCGAGTCGACCCATTCGTGCCGCAGCAGGGCTCTCCCACACTTAATATCATAGATCATGTATGTGTAATCAAATTAGCCAGACTTCTAAATAATGACCTCTTTTGTTCCAGGTATCGTGGATAAGAAGAAAAGATTACCACCTACTAACAGTTGGACTGACCACCTACAGTTCAGACCAAAGGTTTCAGGCCATTCACTTACAGCATTCAGAGGCAAGTATTCTTTCACATCTTCAGCTTTTAAGTGATCACTGCTGAGCAAAGGCCTCTTCCCACATGGAGAAGGTTTGAGCATTTATGAGTTATTTATGAGTATTGGCTATGTGAGTTGACGGCTACTCAAAGCGGATTACTTCAGTTTTAATCACGATGTGATCTTTTCTTCGCCGTATCAGTTTTTAGTGGATCATTCACCAATCATGATCAGTGACCAATGTGACATTTACCGAGATTCATGTACTTTCTGAAATGATTTAGACATCGTTAACAAACAACGAAGGAAAGCGTCGTGTTGCTCACGATGCTTATTGCTAATTATAAGAGTGATATCGCCAATCTGCCCTGAAAAAGCGTAGTCATTAATGCTCAAACTGTGAGAGTAGAGGCTTTTGCTCAGCAGTGGGCACTTATAGGCTGATGTTAATGATCATTACAGGTATAGTATCCCCCAATATTCAGGCTTAGTTACGTTAATTTAGATTTAAGCACAGACCTGAAAACTTTTTGAAAGTCTCTTCATCTGGAAAAAGGGAGCTTTGGGCAAACATTTTTAGGAAATAGAACCTCACTAGGGTAACCTCACTACAATAGGTCTTTACAAGGTTAACTAGTGACGGTCTAAGTGTGCTCAGCAATTAGGTAAACAATTAGGGCTCTTAAATTTTTAATTATTATAGATTGAGCTACAATGCTCTTAAGGTTAGTAGAGGAAGGTTCAAAATACAATGTAGATTTTAGGGTGAATTCTAAAACCTAATTGTGGTTGTGTTTTTTAAAGCACAGGCAAGAAAATGTATGAAGTTATGGTGAGCAATCAGCACCGCTAATGGACATTCGCAACACCAAAGTTATAGGCTGATGATGTAGAGATTTGAGCATTAAGGATGGTGGGAGATGATTGGGCTACTCCTATTGGGGGAATTGTTATTGTTTGTTCTTTTGTCGCAAGAACCGAATTCGAAATGTCACTACTCATGATAAAAAAATTATAATCATTATCGTCATCCAGTTTGGCGCTGATTGCTTACTATCAGGCAATCTGTGCCTGCTCCTAAAAGTGATATAATGGTTGCACAAACAATCGATGTAGAACAATATACATGAAAAGTGTTTCGCTGTGAGAGTTTACCGGATAACAATTAAAATACAAACTCCCATTTGTCATAAATAGAAACGATTTGCATACAAGAACGAGAAATGTATACAAAATATCATTCGTCCCTTTGTTCAGCAGATAGAGTTAGCTAACTTAGATTTACGAAGTTTCTTCGTAGAAACACTTTGGGAAAACCAATAATCTTGGGAACCCATGTTAATTCCACTTGCTTTGAGGTCACATATACAGAGAAACTAAATAGAATGGGTTTCAAGGGATTACTTATTGATCCCTATAATGTAACAGCTGTGTCTTTTAGGGTTGGAAGCTAAGAAGTATTTTTTGCAATTTGTAGGTACATATGTTGACTTTTGATTAATATGATACTATTAATTTTCTATGCTATTAAGCATTTTTTATGTAATAGAACGGCAAATGAGCCAACGGGTTTCCTGATGGTAAGCAATCAGCGCTGCCCATGGACCCCGCAACAAGTGCGTGCGTGGTTGTTTCACGCCGGTTTTCTGTGAGACCGTGATATAGCTCCGGTCGAGCTGACCCATTCATGAGCTGACCCATTCGTGCCAAAGCATAACTTTTGTCTTAATACATCGCGCTACCACTTACTATAAAGTGTTCCAACTATGTGTTTAAAACTTATTAAAAAAAATACTTCAAATCGAACACAATGCGTCTTCCAAAATCTATATGATATTGCAAATAGAATTACTCAACAATTATGAACTATAATGAAGTATTAGTTGCTCGTTTCAAACTGGAAATTCCTATAGAAAATTAATAGCAAGAATCTCCATACTCGCTTTTAAACAAAGCCAAAGAAAACTGCTTTTTCACCTTCTTCGTCTATATAACAGTAGGTAGCTAAAGTGAATAAGCGTACTAATTAATTTGGTGTCATTCTAGGCCCTTAACAGCGCTTGTGGTGAACGCTAGGCTAAGGTATTAAACCCCCCGAGTCTTTGGCGTATTAACGGTACAAACATTTTGCTTCGGGCATCTTCGGAGAAGTTCGTATTATTTCGGAAATAGGAATGCTCTGACAGTCTACTTGGGTTGTTGTTTGTGCACAGATCAGAATCTAGATTATAATGAGTTTGAGTTAAAATGCATGTAAATTTAACGTAAAAGGCAATGAACGAATTTTAATGAAATTTGATTCAGAGATAGACCATCTGCTACTGCGAGTGGAACCGCTGGCAGAAATTAGACTCAAATAAATGAAAAAAAAATACTAAAGACTCTCAAAACCACTTCAACGTGGCAGTTATATCGAAAAAAGTCGTATATTTTAAGACGCAATGTACCATGTAAAGTTCAAAAGTAGCTATTTTTAGAACCGCAAAAATTCTATTTCAGGTACATGCTCCAGTACTCATGAAATTACAACAGACCTTGTACATCTACATACACTTTTTTTTCACAAATATTTAGGTAACCTTTCTGTTAGGTTTGTCAACAAATATTTTCTGTATCCCAACACATGTAGTAAAAAGAACATACCAACGAGTTTTTATCAAAAGAAACGTGAATTTTGTACATTTTTTACGATGAAGCAAAGGGTTATTTTTAGGGATCTAAGTTCAAAGGTTAAGAACGACCGATTCAAAGAAAAAATATGTTTAAAATGATGTGAGGAAAGAGCCATGCTTCGACACGAATGGGTCGGCTTTACTGGCCGACCGTGTGATACCAACGCCTCACAGAAAACCGGGATGTAACAACGCATGCGGTTTAAGTTAGTGTCCCATTATACCAACAGGCCCCTCTATCTTCCATCCTAATCCCCAAAATCCCACAATCCTTAAATCCCTAACTTCCAAAAGGCCGATACCGCACTCCTTTTGTGCTTTTACTTTACTTTACTGGGAGTAAGTGGCAGAAAACCTAAGAGGTCATGTAGGTACTAGCACATTTATTACGATTCTATTTAGTAACCCATTTCAAACTCAATACAAAAAAAAATCGAGCAGTGTATTAGTCTATCGACGGAAAATCTTAACACCGCGATTTAAAAAGTGACGTCATCTAACAACGCCATCTAGTTTCGTTTAGTGGAACCTTTTAACTACGAACACCTTTGGTGTAACAAATGTCCATGGGGACCATTCGTTTGCGCTTGTTGTTTTTTGATGGTTATTAAATAATTATATATCTCCCGCCTAGGGTGGGGCAAGAAGAAATATCCGACTCTTAAGGCCAAAAATCCCACCTCGTTTTTTCTCATGCTTTTGCCCCCTTATGTATTAATGTAATGATAATAATATGAATACAGAAATGATGACACAGAAAGTCCTACAGAACTACAGCTGTTTATATGTATTCATCGTAAACTTGTAATACTGGATTATGTAAGATAGATAATACTTGAAGTCTATAAATAGCATTAGATTATTTTCTTATTTTAATTTATTCCACTTGGAAGCTTGGAAGTGTTCTTCAAGTTTCTCGTTTCAGCCAATTAGTGTTTTTATTCGTTCGTTCTTCAAGTCTATTCTATTGATTAAGTCTTATGTAAACAATTTCTTAGACTGGAGATTGATATCGCCAATATTCTTTGAGCTAGCATTATGTGTTTGATCATTGTCTGCATGTAGTTGAGCAAAGGCCTCTTCTAATTCAGAGAAAGATTGATTAATCAGTACTTTTTCTAGAGACAGGTTGGCAATTTAAAACTTATAATTAGATAGATATTAAGTCCAGGTTTCCTCACGGTGATTTCCTTCACTGCTTGTCAATGATGTCGAAATAAACTTAGAAAGAATTTTCAAAGCACTCATAACTCCTCCTCTCCTGTTGTAGCGCGTGTTCATGTGCGGCGATGATTGCTTACCATCTGGTAATCCGTCTGCTCGTTTGTCGACCTATCCCATAAACGAAGTACATCATATACCGCGGAAAAAGTCACATTGGTAGTTGCCAAGTTTCGGACCCGAACCCTCAAGCATGAGAAGTAGATCTCTTAACTTAACGTACACCACAATAATCAAGCGTACATAAAAATGATTTTAAAATATTTCTATCATTTTCAGGATTGGACGCTGAAAGTTAGATTTGTACAGAAACGGGACGCGGGCATCTATGAGTGCCAAGTGTCCTCCCATCCTCCCACAAGCATCTTCTTAAGACTCGACGTCGTTGGTGAGTATTTAAACAATATTTTTATCTCAGTCTTAAAAATTTGTAATAGTGTTTAATGTTGATTTCTCGTTTAGATTTGTTGAATATTAATAAAACTAAATTTAACAGAAATCTGAACGCAACAATTACTGAAGAAATGTTGTGTCTGTATACGCAAAAACAAACTGCAAAAAGTGTATCTTAAGTTTAAAAAATTAACGTACATACTTTTGGATTTTGGAAGCAACAGTCATAAACTTTGCAAAAAAGCCTCAAAAATACAACTTTACAATTTGTACAGAAAAAGTTCAGCAAGCTCTGATAGAAGAGTTATAATTCAGATCCAATACCGACTTTAACACCGGTGCCATGAGAGCTTTTTGTGAGTGTGGAAAGTCGTCAAATAACTACTACCACCTTAAGTGGGACGAAAAGGGATGCCAGTACTCTTACTGACTAAAAATTACCCCGTACCTTCTCCTACTCCTGCCCTGCGCCACAGGACACTATTGGGCTTACACTCGGTGCCATGGAAGCTACTGCTTCCCACACTAGATGGCGCTAGTATATTACCCTCGTCATTTCGCCATATAGAAAACTAGCTAATGCCACGCGGTTTCACCCGCTGCTCGGCTCCATTCGATCGTAGCGCGATGTTTTATAGCCTATAGCACTCAGGAACATTGTAGCTATCTATCACTGAAAGGATTTTGGCAATCCGACCAGCGATTGCAAAGATTACCTCCTACATACAAACATACAAACTTACATAAGTTTGTTACTTACAAATAGTACTTACAACTAGTCAGTAAGAGTCTGACACTCTCTTTCGCCTAACACGGCGGGAGAAGTCATTTGACGATTTTCCCCTGACAAAAAAAAATCCCTGTTTGGGCCCAATCCTCCCCCCTAAACCCTAAAAGGCAACGCATTCTTAACTTTTTTAGTATTACGGACTCATACACGGCACCGATGACTAACCATCAGGTAATCCTTATAGAAAAAAAAACACATTCCTATTAAGATTTTCTTTTAAAACCTCATCGTTATAAGTGTCATAAATAACCTAAAATTCTAGACTTAAGCTGCCTAAAGCAATTCAGTTTAAGTTTAAGCTTTCTAAAGAGTAATACGCTTGAGAGTTTTTTTTTTATTTTAAGTGTTGGGAGAACGCACCTGGTTCAGTGAATTTCTCCTCGGAGAGACATTATGCTTCTCTGTAATGTTGTCACATGAATATAATGGTTCCATTTTATGAAGGTTTTATTAAACATATACATACAGTGTCTCGTTAAACTTGCTAATTAGCGAATGTGACTCGTTAAGGGTTATTGGATTTTATTACGTCTGCTCTCGTGATAAGGTTGCTGATCGATGTGATGTAATTTGTTCTTGTTACTTTATTAATGTTGGATTCAAATGTTACTGTTTTACAAAATATGTAAAACATTCGGACTTGCACGACAAGAATCCCTTCTAAACTATTTGCTTTTATATTGACAATTTAATATTTAGATATTTCTATACAATATTATATTGTCAGACTAGCTACTCTCTCGCGGTTTCACCCGCTGATTGGCTCCATTTAATCGTAGCGTGATGTTTTATAGCCTATAGCACTCAGGAACATTGTAGCCATCTCTCAGCGAAAGAATTTTGGCAATCCGACCAGCGGTTCCAAAGATTACCCCCTACATACAAACTTACATTTATAATATTAGTATAGATAAATCCGTTTTTGAATATTTATTTACAATACGTATTTTATGAAAAAGATCTAGAAATAAAGTTCTGTTATTTTTTATCTTGCCCTTACCCAATTTGAGACGGTTATAATAATAATTATAAGCAGCAATAAACACATATTTTCATCTCAATCCCCAATTCAATATTTCATTCAAACAATGAAGGTTCTAGATAAACTCGTTTATTTTGTGACTAGGCACAAATGCCAGTACTTTTCGACCCAAAACTAGTATTATTAATATGTAAATAACCGGACCTAAAACGCAATGGCCACCAGCCATATTAGACGGGTAGGTAGGGTTACCCGTGAAAATAATTAAAATCTTTTAAATTTTACTGCGGCAACACAGGAATACGGCTTCATTTCGTCACAAAATCTGTTTTTGAAAAAATGTGTGCGGTTTTTTTTGTTGAAAAGAGGATTATTTTGGTTATTTTTTTTTTTATTTTCACGTGCTAGGTTGGGTTATGAGATAATTCCATAAAGCTCAGTTACTTCTTAATTTTAAAACCAACGATGCCATTTCAATTTGTTTAAAGCTATTTAAATGTTTAATATTCTTGCTTTAGAGTGTAAATCATTAGTAAATTGATCTGACTTGAAACTTATCAGTAAAACTTTTCTCGGTTTCTTTTTCTTTTTTATGTAATAGGTCGGCAAACGAGCAGGACGTATAACCTGATGGTGAACAATCAGCGCTGCTCATGGATACCCGCAACGGAGGAGTTACGAGTGCGTTGCTGACCTTTTAGGGATTTGGGATTCGGAGATTTAGGGACTGTAAGGATTGGGTCTTCGGTAACTCACACGGCGAAACACAACGCTGTGGTTGTTTCAAGTCGGTTTTCTGTAACGCCTACGAATGGGTCGGCTCGACTGGAGTGATACCACTCACTCCAGTCGAGCCGATCCATTCGTGCCGAAGCATGGCTCTCCCAAACTTAAACTTATTCACGTGAGTTAGTCGTTACTTTCCATAAATTTAAATGTTTCACAGTAGTTGTTATTCAAAAATAGTCATGAGTGAGAGTGTCAGACTCTGACTGACTAAAAACCATCATGGTCCTTCTCCTGCTCTAGGTCGACGTCGCGAAACATTATTGCCTTGGAACACGCAACCCAGGTAAATATCCTACATGACTTTAACACGTACGAGCCCAAAAGTAGAATAGAAAACAAATCCTACTAATATTATACATAAATGTGTAAGTTTGCAAGAATATACATATTAAGTATGTTTTTTTTTTTTTGTGAGGGGAAAATCATCAAATGACTTCTCCCGCCCAGGGCCGGGCAGGAGGGAGTGTCAGACTCTTACTGACTAAAAACCCCCCTGTTCCTTCTCCTGCTCTGTGCCGAGGTCGCGGTGCCTCATTGCGCTTACCCCGCAACCCCGGCTGAACATCAGCCCTTTAGGGCCCCATCTGTGGTGGTCTAATGGCTCTTTGAGGCGCGCGCGGAACGCTACGCGCCGTACGCTCGGGCCTGGTTCTGGTCGGGCGGCGAGCTGCCCTTACTCGCCGACCGCAGGCCCGTGCTTACGGTGGCCGGAGATCGTCCCTTGATCCCCGACGCCCGTAGTGTCGCCAGTTGCGGCTGCTGGGGCGTGAGGAGGAGGATTGCTCCCTCACGCGGGCCGCCTCTCTCTTTGCGAGCATGACTGCTTCACAAAAGGAGGAGACGGCGTCCCAGTTCCTCTCACTCCGCACCATGGCCTCGACTAAGGCCGGGCGCGAGAGGTCGCCGCCGCCGATCACTTCCCTGAGGATACGGCGGTGCTCAGCCCAGGCAGGGCATACCGCTACCGTATGCTCCACCGTATCCTCTAGGTGGTCCTCACAATGACGACACTCGGGCGTTTCCTCCCGCTGATATTAAGTATGTATGTTTGTAATCCTTTCACGCAAAAACGGCTGAACCGTTTTGGTTGATATTTGGTATGTAGATAGGTACTAGGTACTCTTTTTTTGTCAATGGAAAATCATCAAATGACTTCCTCCACCCAGGGTAAGGCGAGAGTCAGTATCAGACTGTTGCTGATTAAAAACCCCGCTCCTTCTTCTGCTCTGGGCCGAGGCCGCGGTGACTCATTGCGCTTAACCCACAAACTCGGAGATAGGTATAACTACCCTGGATCGACACAGAGGCTACTTTCTATCAATACACCAGGCAAAGCTGGGTGAGGAAACTAATTTAAAAATAAAAGATAAAAATACTTAATACAAATGAGTTTATTTTTAAAAGCAATATTTTCCATCGCCTTATTAAACGCTATTGTTAATGTAGAACAAAGAGCTGGGAAGCCATGCTACCAGGGCGTTGAGACTTTAATATCAAATTGTGAACAATCTGGAAAAACAATAATATTTACTTCATTAATAAGTTAGTGGTTTCTTATTAATCAAACCTTTTCTAATGTGTGCTATAGGTAGAGTTATGCTTTTGTTCACCTGTTAGGAAAGTAAGTTAAGTTATAATACGAGTACAACAGAATTGTACAATTTTGTTAAAAAAAAATAATTTAATTCATATTTCTCTTTAAAAATAACGACTTTTATGATAATATCGGTGTCTCCTGTTTCATGGCTGCTTTATATACACACTCCACCCAGACGCCACAGACCGGAACAAATAAGGCTTTTTGTGAAAGGGGAAAATCTTCAAATGATTTTTCTCGCCCAGGATGAAGACGTGTCCAGGCGAGAAGAAGTGTCAGGATCTTGCTGACCTAAAAACATCCTTTTTTTTTCTCCTGCGTTAGTTACTACCTATGTTTTCTACAACTTTATAGCCCTTGCCCCCCCGGTTGAACAGTAACCTATTTGGTCCCATCTGTGACAGTTCATTAGGCTCAAACATTTGTCTTAACGGTGAAAATTTAGAATTACCAAAAATAATATACTTACACCCAGATACTTACAAGGTCTTATTACCGAAAACATGAAAGTACGAAAATAAAAATTAATATTCCAGTAACTTAAGAATTTGAAGGTCCATATAAAATTAAAAAGTCTCTACTTATCCTTAACGTAGATGAATTTTTGTACGCGCTTACAGAAAAATATATGTATTTTGTTATCTACACTAATATAATTTGAGGGAAGACTTTTTTGTTTGTCTGTACAGAATGTATTTGAAGGCTTATAACAATTCATTATTTAGAAAGCGTGCTTTTCAAGTGTTTTCATATCATCATCAGCCTGATATCGTCCTCTGCTGGACATAGGTCTCCCCAATTGCACGCCACTGAGCACTCTGCGGATGACGTCAGTCC